GTTTTGGATATTAGCACATCCTGTAAACTGTTCTGCATTAACGACATATATTTTGAAACGTGGTATTCCACAGTAACTATAGTTACTAACTTTCGCATTCCATTTCATTCTAGTAATATTATTTGAAGAATTCATGTCTTTAATTGCCGTCAGGGAAGTGACTGCTTATACAACATATTAAGACGATTGTTCACCTTTATGATAAATTCGTGAAAATTATTAAGTAATATTGAATGACTGAGTGTCGTGTGTACTGCTCATCAGTCCGCTCCGTCCTCCTTTATGGCTGTGAGACCTGACCATTGAGGGTGGAAGACGTGAAAAGATTAGCTGTCTTTGATCATAGGTGTCTGCGTTCTATCTCCCGTGTTGGGTGGTAGTATAATAAGGTGAGCAATACTGAGGTTAGGCGTCGAGTGCTAGGTAAGGCGGGGAAATCAATTGACGAGACTGTGAAATTACATCGACTGAGATGGTTAGGACATGTGCTACGTATGCCTAGTCACCGCCTTCCTCGATGGGCAATGTTAGCTGATATAGAGTCAGGCTGGAAAAGAGCTAGTGGCGGTCAAACGAAAACATGGCACCAGTCAATGAAATCTTCAACAGTTAGTTTAAGCCAGCCACGTAGGAAGGTGTAGACTTCCTGGTTGGGGTCCTCGGGACGGTAAAAACCAATGGTTGGAAACAATCGGTGACATGGCTCAAAATCGTTCTCAATGGTTAGCGCAGATGCATCCACTCCTTGTGACTTATGATTTGCAATGAAACTGTTTTGTTCTTCGTTATTACTATTCCTTTATCTCACACCTCTGTTTACTGTCTCTAATATGCATTTCTCCTACTTTCTTCTCTTGCTTTGTGTGCTACATGGAGTGTGGCGACTTGAACTGCCGCACATATGTACAAAGTTCTATGTCGAAAACAGACAGACAGACAGAGTGTTGGTTTTCCTTTGAAATTCTACATGTTTTGGCGGTCAATGGAATAAGTGTACACCTGGATTTAAGAGTGTTAACGCTGACTTATTTACCTTGTTTGGTAAGTTTGCGAATGTGGTGTGGGGACGGGGGACGGGACGGTGATTAGTGTTTAGATGTTAGTTTAGAATTTTAAGGATTTTCTTACGCGAAAGAAATGTAGAAAGTTGTAGAGTAAACCCTAACCAACCACATCTGAGTGAGTGTATATTCGATTATGACGTTTGGATAAATATTTTTTTGTGCATGATTTTAGCTATTTTTGATGTTAGATAGTTGGAGGCAATCGGCAGGAAGCCATGGCTGACCTAGGTTTCGTGCCTGTTGGCTTTTCACCAGTCAGTCAGCAAGGTGTATCTGCAACCTTGAAGGAATTCATATCCCTTCTGAGATTCAAACCTGCGTTACCCAGTAGGGCTGCAGTCAGAGAGGTTACCACTGAGCTATTTGGTCTCCCGATTGACATCCTTTAGGACTGTACTTTGATTGGACACTAGTAACTACTGTGATGTGTCTAGTTTTTTTTGGTGCAGATTGGATTTTTTGTTGAATGAAGCAAAAGTTTGCTCTACAGGGTAGCAAAAATATCTGCGTTCGTTAAGATAATAATAATTTCTGTTTTCCCTGGAAAAATTCGCTTTATGCACGTTACAGAATCTTCAGCTTGTTCTTTTGTAAGGTATTGACTCTTTGTGTGCGAGATCTTCAAGTAATTATGACAATAATAATAATAGTAATAATAATAATCGATAATGCATCACTCGAATTAGTATTGTTCCGCGCAAACAAAGCATACTCCATTTACTCGACGAAGTTGTTCTCCCATATCTTTGCAAAGAAGAATCCGTAGCCAGTGTAAGTAGGTAGGTGGACATCTTTTTGAAACTATGCCGGGGAGTAGTTTACCGATTCATGAACCTAGTTGGTTGGTTAAGACATTATAAAATGCAGTAAAAATATGGTGTATTTTGATTGGTGGATGGATGGATCGATGGATGGTAAGGTAATTCGGTAGCCCCCCAGTGATTTTTAAGCAGGCTACACCAGGTCAGCTATAGTTTACTCACTTATCAGAGTAATAGTTCAGTCATCATCACAAGTTAAGTAATAATTGATTTTGAGTAGTGCTCTAATCATCATAGTTCATTGATTTCTTTTCACTTCTATGAATGAATGCATGCATAAATGATTAAATGAGTTTTCTATAGGATGTTTATACTCAATCCGCCTTTTATAAACTGTATCTGTATGCACTTAATTGTGTGTTGTGTGATGTATATATGAATGCTGCATGTTGTATATTAGCTTTCTAACCAAGGTTAAATTATGCTTCTGTTTTTGTGCAAATCAACTCTGAGCTATATGTTTATATGATCATTTGTGTAGTGTATTTTATTATGTGTATTCTACGTATATCTATCTATCTGTCTGTCTGTCTATCGTTGATTCATTAAATTCATATATTTTCAAGTATTGGTTTTGTTTGCAGGGATTTTGTTTGTTTGATTGCATGGAGGATTTCATCATGAGCTGACATCAGTTAGAGAACCACTGGACAGCTGTTTCGCCCTAGTTTGGGACTCTTCGTCAGTACGCACCAATCGACAAGGCTCGAACCCAGGACCTTCTCGTTCCAAGGCGAGCTCGTAGGCTCAATGGTCTACGAGCTCGCCTTGGAACGAGAAGGTCCTGGGTTCGAGCCTTGTCGATTGGTGCGTACTGACGAAGAGTCCCAAACTAGGGCGAAACAGCTGTCCAGTGGTTCTCTAACTGATGTCAGCTCATGATGAAATCCTCCATGCAATCAAATTCATACGTATTTTTGTCTTATAATGATGTTTATTGTGTCTATAAATGTGTTGTGTTTCTTCCGGTCATTTGATGAATGGATAATTCACTCTTTTCTAGTCTCAAAGTTGCTGTTTTCTTGGATGACATTTGTGAGATTCAATAGAGTTTACGTTTATTTTAGGTTAACCTCTCCACCTTCCGTTGATTGATTTTCGTGAAGCGAAATGTTCGATCTCTGTTGACATTTCGGTTCCTAGTACGGATTCTTCGATGACGTGCAAGGATCAACAGATCAGACAGAGACTTGGCGCCGCGTCATGCAGAGCACCTCAAAACAAACTAAAAGCCTTCACCAACAGCTGTCTTCACTCAAGACCAGGTGGCCAGCCAGGAAAGATCAGCAACAGGGATCTCTGGGAGTGAACCAACCCAGCAGGAACCAATTGTGCAACAAATAAGCAGGAAAAAATGGAATTGGATTGGCCATACCGTGAGAAAACAAATCATCAAGTGACATCACTAGACAAGCCATTTCTCGAGTGGAACCTGAAAGGGAAGCGGCGAGTTGGTCGTTAGTGCAAGGGTGACTTGGAGGAGGTCATGTGAAGAGGAGATGAAAGCATGTGGGCAGACGTGGAGCCAGGTGAAAATGTTGGCGTATGAGTTGAATTCCGTTTCGTTTTCTGAGGGTTTGATCAGTCAGACTCTTAGTAGATGGCTAATTAATTAGTGCAAAACATTTACACATGGAATGCTTCCTTCTATTGTTGGTTTTCACGATTGATCGTGAACTGACTTCAGTTAGAGAGCTATTGAAAACCAGTGAGGAGCACTGAATAGCTGTTTCGTCCTTGTTCGTGATTTTTCATCAGTCCCCTGCTCACCATTCAATTAGGAATCGAACCTAAGACACTGAATGTCCGAGGTGAGCTCGTTGACTACTCAAACACTGGGACAAAATGTAATGGCCGGCCCATGAATTCTAACTTTTGCCAATTCGCGATATATTCGGTGATCCCTAGATAGCGTCAGTGAGTGTTTGTCCTCATACCCAACTTGATGGATCCCGATAGTCACAACTTTCTACTCCAACTTCATTCTATAGTCAGTCAATAGTGAGCACTAGATTGATTTTTTCTGCCTAATTTAATGATTAGAAGAAAGCATGTGGTTTATTTGTCAGTTAATTTTGAGAATAGCGACATGAGTACTACACAACTCTTAGTTATTTTCCATGTCTTTTATTTTTGAAAAAACGCAATCTCGTTCCTGTTTTTCTGCAAAATTTTAAATATTTTTATAGATTCTTTTTGTGTTAACATTTCCACTTCCAAATGTGTTGCTCTGTTGTAGGTAATAAGAGCTTTTCCTATTTTGTTAAGTCTTGTGGGAGAAGCCATGCGAGTGGGCTTTTAAGCGTGTACTACAGCATTGATCACCATGGTTACTGTACTGATATGTAATCAATAACAGAGAAATAATAATGTAGTATTAATTGTAGTCAGGTGTGAGGACAGGTACTCGTCGATGACATTAGCTGCCAATGGCACTGTGTGTCGCGAATTAGAATCCACATCTTTCCATTCACCTCCGTCGCAATGATTGAGTGATCAGCAGACTCGCCTCATAAATTGAAGCTCATGAATGCACGCCGATGAAGAGTCTTCAAATAGGACGAGATGGCGGTTCAGTACTGCCAGTTGTTCTCTAATTGTGAAGACAGTTCGAGATCAATCTTGAAGTCGATCAAATTCCTGCAAATACACACTTGAGGTAAAAGAATAAAAACCAGAGTAAGTTTTATGCATTTTGCCGGATGGCTAGCTCCGAGGTTTTATTGAGCAGGACTCCTGAAGTAATCTATGCTATTATGGTATTAATGTAAGTATGCTTATTCAGGTATATTTTTAGGAAAATCCCTCGATGTTGTACAAATACCATGTGCTACTTAATTGTCTTGTTGTTGTTGTGTTTTTAAAGATTTTTATTGTTGTCTAAAACAAACACTGAGAGTTGTTGCAGCACGGAAAACAATGCTCTGTATGTATGTATTAAATGGCTTTTCTCTATATACTCAAGCTTAATACGCTTAATAGTGCTTTATTTACTAATAACGCTGACAGAAATCTGCATTCTTCTCTGTGCTATCCAGTGTTTTCCACCAACATTTCTATGCTTCCACTATATCTAGCGCCATTATTTGCTCTGTTTTTGTTACTTTTATTACAGTTCTTTTACCAGAAAGCTGATGAATTGGATACCTGGGAAAAACAACTGAAGCGTCTTTACTCATCTCTTCTTTCGTTGGTGTCTGGAGATAATGGTAGGCAGTTTTATAGTTTTTGAGAGTCCTTTTCAATACTTTTCTCATTGAAAATTATTGATTTTCAACGTGGAACTTTGCACAGAAATGCAACAGTTCAAATTGCCACACTCTATAGCACACAGAGGTAGAGAAAAACTTCAAAAGAACTGTAATCAGCAAAAATGTACGGAAGAAAGAACATGGAAAACATGAGGACTTAATGGATCTAGGAAGATTACAGAGAGTGAGCGCATCTGCACCACTGAAAACGATTCTGAGCTGTATCACCTGTAGTATCAAGCTATTGGTTCTTAGCATCCCGAGGACTACAACCATGCAGTCTATACCTCTCTACTTGGCTCGCTTAAACTAACAGCAATAGCCTTCATGGTTCGATGCCAACCTAATCCTATGTTAGGTGAAATTGCTCGTCGAGGAAGGTGATGGCTCGGAATGAGCAATATGTGCCCTAACCATCTCAATCTATGTAGCCTCAAAAAATCATCTATCGACTTAACCTCTTTACGTAACACTCTACACTTAACCTGGATATTATCCACCCTATTACACCATTTAAGAGAGATAGTAGGCAAACGCCTGTGGTTTTCTACTTTCAATGGCCATTTCTCACAATCATAGAGAAGAACAAAGTGAGCTGTTACTCAGTACACACCTTCTCTTAATCGATAGCTGGGTGTCGTTTTCCGACCCTAAGTGTTGTCATACTGTGGTCAAATTAGTAGGGACATTGATATCAGAATCTGTTTTCAATTTATAAGGTCATCCTTGGTCGTCTGCTGATGTGATGTCAACCTTTTCAGTGGTTTCTGTATAGGCGGAAGATTAAGAAGAAGAGGAAAGCTTAGGGTGTAACTTTTGTAAATGAGTTGGTCATTTAAAACGTGAGGCGTATATTGTAATTAGTAGTCGTTAAACTACAAAGCCAGAATCGGAAAGGTGCAGGATACACCTTCATTAACCTGAAAACAGCTTGGAAGTCTTCTGTTGTCACTGGGCATAAAGAACATAATTCGGATGTTCAACACAAACGTGGAGTCAGTCAGTTCTTCTATACGGGTCAGAAACTTGCATTACGTGTCAGTCACGAAAAGCATTTCCAAGTTACGGACTTTTGTCAACAGTTGCCCACTTCGCTGGCTCCATACTGAAGATCAAATGGCCAACCAGCCGGTCGTCCAGAAACAATTAGCAACAAGAAACTCTGGCTGGGAGCAAATCAACCAAGAGCCTACTGTTCAACAAATATGCAGGAGAAAATGGAGATGGATCCAGCATACTTTGAGGAGGCCATCAAATGACACCGCGCCTAATGCAGGCCATCACTCGAGTGGAATTCCAATGGGAAGTGACAACTGGATCGTTGGTTCTAGGGTGACATGGAGGAGATCGTGTGGCTAGGAGGAGATGAGAGATTGTAATCAGTCGTGGGGCTAACCAGCTGAAGAGGACAGTAGAAGGTAGAACGAAGTAGAGGTGTGCTATTGAAACCCGATGTTCCATTCGGAACCCAAGGAAGTAATAAATAAAATAAACTGGATTGTTTAACTAAAAATTAATTTAAAAAACTTATTGTTGGTTTATTTTCTTAAAAATATTCTTTAAAATAATTCCATGAAGGAAATTTATTCATGTCATTTTATAATATTTATCATTTCATCCACCTATATTGCTTAGATGGAATGACTAACAACAAGTGCGTTAATCACATCATAAATGTCTTATAATAAAAGAAATAATTGATTTATTTTCTCCTGTCTTCTGGACAAAATACACGTGGTCTGTTGATTCTGACAAGCAACTTTCAGTTAGTTAGTAAGTCACAGATTCACAGATCGACCTCTACCAAGATTTTAGCGAACAATGGGTGTGGTTGGTTAGGTACATTCAGTAAACAGGTGTGTACATGATTGTTAAGTTGGACTCATAGTTTCAGAAAATGAAATAAATGTAACGATCAGAATGTCTGTAACAGTGGAGAGCTGTTTTCACACTTTTGTCTTATGCAGACGGGACACCTGTTTCTCAAGAAATAAAGTTATATAATAGTAATTTAACTGAAAATACTTACTAAGGCATGAGTATGCAAATAGGTGTCATGATTAGTAAGGCCCATCAAGTCGGGTGTGAAGACGTGTACTTGCCGATGACATTGGCTTGCAGTGGCACAAAAAGTCGTGGATTGACAGAAGTTAGAATCAGTGGGCGGTTCGATCCCGTCCCAGTGTCTAAATGTGATCAACCAGCTTGCCGCCTTGTAACCGGAAGGTCCTGGATTCGATCCCTGGTGGGGTCATGTGTGCGTACTAACGAAAAGTCCCAAATTAGGGTGAAGCAACTGTCCAGTACTGCCTGGCTTTCAATGGTTCTCTACCTGAAGTCATTTCGTGGCCAAACGTGCTACCAATAAAATCCTTACAAACTGACATTTGAAAATACAGAACTACTGAAGAAGTAAGATATATACCTCAGTATTATTTATATTTTAAAAGAATGTAACGTTAGAATTGTGGAATAAAATGTTTATCATTTATTTTTAGACTTAGCAAACGCTAAGGTTGGTTTATCCCGTTCAATTCTTCTTTTGGCCAATGTGGAAGAAAATACCGGTTTAGCTCAAGCACTTCATCAGTTAGCCGACACAGAAGGACATGTTGCAGAACTGCATGCTCTACAAGCGGAAGCGCACACATGTCATTTAGCGGAGTATACGAGAGAAGTGTTGGGTATGGTTCAAGCGTGTAAAGTGAGTCCTAGTTTTGACTTTATCGGAATAAAAAGCTGTCTTGCTGATTACTAATTGAAAATATTTAACACAAAATTTACCAAATATTTATGCCTGATATATATACAGTCGAACTTTATTTCCGAAAAACCATTTAACAACAGTTCTTCTTATTAGAATCCTTTATCATTGTTAGAACCCAGTTATCGGGAACAGTCGGACGGGAGTCTGGCAACCATACTCCGTGGGGAAAAACTACCTCTACTGAAACTTAAAACCTTAAAACCCTGTGTTCCACTTGGGCCGTGAAAGAATGGAAAAAAACGGGCTGGTGGTACTATCCAGCTGCTCTGTCTGAAGTCGATGGAGCAGGATTTGAGCTTGACACCCAATTAACTGAACGTTGTGTCTAAGCCAGTGAACTGCTTCTGCATTTATTGTTTATGTGGTAAAGTTAACATTCTTAGCTTACAGAGAGTTGCTTCAATGAAAACTTGATATACATTTGGTCCTTTTTTGGTCAAGTCACTGTAGACAAAGGCTTGGAATGGCTATTGAAGATTAGGTAATGGATATGACATTGTCTTTTTTCTCTGAAGTGATTACATAGAAATTTGCGTTAGATTACTTATGTTCTGGTGTTTTATATAACACAGTGATACCGTATTTATAAGTGGATGATGTTTCCAGCACAATTTATTACGGTTCATAACCATACCAATACGTATTCACACGACTTCATAATTTTCTTAACACATTTTTTCTCCCCTTCCCCTTGTTATTCACTGTAACTTTCCATATATCTGATATATGAGTTCCATCATTTCAGTTGCACGTGTGCGGTGCTGAACCAATATGTCAAGATTCAGTGATAAACCTCTTTCTATCTCCACCTAATTACATTATTTCTCAACATTTTCACTGTATTGTGTGATCACATGGGATTGAATGCATTGCAACGGTTGAGCTTTTTTTTCTAGATTATTTAACTTGGCAGGATCAATCATTCTAGGCCTATCTAAATTCTTGTTTCGTTACTCTAACTGTTCCGGATCTACTAGTCTGATGTATACAATTCACCTCACAATCATAATATATGGTATTTAGTAAATTCTACTATTTTTCTTAATTGGATCTATAAAATCTTTAAGCCATTAAAGTTTATCTCTGAGTGATTTGGTTAGTTGATTGATTTAAATGCCACCCTCACTCTCCAGCCTTGCTTATTAAGAATCTTACAAAGGGCTTCTGTTGCTCCATCTTTATATAGCAGTGCTATCGAGGCTTTGTATTCCCAATTGTTTATATCATTTAAAATCAAAACAAATGATTCAGCGAAGAGACTCTTTTCAACGAATTTATCATCAAGCTGTACAATCGTATATATATGGTTTTTTTTTAAGTTGTATCCGGCAAAGAGTAATCTACCCAAATCCCTACGTACCCGACTCATCTGTATTGCTGAAGCTTTGGCTATCGAAACAGAAAAGCCAGATCTCTGTGTACAGAAAAAGTTCGTTCAACCCTTCCAACTTTCATGGTCTTAATCCCTCTATGCTAAAGTATGGTAATCCCCAATCATATTTTAGCTCTACCAATTCTTCATTTTTTCATTTTTGTCTATTCAATTTGTATACTCTTCCTTATTACGTCAATTGTTACTATTACTATTCTCACTTTTAACTGTCCCCGGTATTATTTCACTTGTTCCACTTGTCCTTCTAAATCAATTCCTTTTTACAACATTAAATTCTATGCTATTAAATTTCACACAGTATTACGTAACGTTTTTACTTTAAAAAACAGAAAGATTGAGCGAAGAAATATTTACTTTTCAATTAGATCCTCTTCTATGGCTCTGCTCTAATATATATAGCATTTTTTACAATACACAACAATTTACCAAACACGTGGCGATATATTTGTTAACAATAATTAACCAGTGTCAAAATGTCAATGGGTAGATAATTAAGGAAGAAAATTAATACACAATTAAAAGGTGGTGGGACGAATCAAAATCTATGTTTGATTCATTGCGTGTGGAATCAAATTTAAAATTTCGCTTTTTGGATAGCTAGTGCTTCAGCTATACATAGATGCCTTGATGTCACTCTCTTTGAGACTTTTGATCGAATCTCCTATAGGATTTTGGAGGGATTTTCGTGTGAAGATGAACGTCTTTTGTTCAACAGATATTCTGTTACTAAGTGAGCTATGTACACACCCCTACGTTCTCCCTTTTCTAGCCAGGCTGGATAGTGTTCCCGAGTGCGTTTTACAACGAAGGGATGTATGGTACGGTCACCGTAATCTGTTTGACAACAGCAAGTGAAGTCGTGTATGTACATCGAAATAGCCCAATGCGACAGTTCATCCTCCACGTGCTGGCTGAATAGTTTCTTGCGAGAAAGTGTCATTCTTAGGCTGGTGGCGAAGTATGCTTTTGTGAAAGATTTCGAAAACTGTTTTTGGAGAATTACTGCCTTGAAATTAAGCAGCAACCTGGACCTATTCAGAAACCTTTTTTGGTTTTATGTCCTTATCTATGGGGAACCATTTTCCATTAAGATTCCTTGGTACACATTTTCTGGATTCTCAAGGAAAGAGAATTTGTGAGGTTTTCTCTTTCTGCTTAGAGGGATAGAACTTTGAAAACTGCTAAACTGTCCATTACATGTTGGCTTTTTGTATATGGATCTCCTCAATGAGTTATTAGCATTTCTTCGCAGTTGACACATCGAGGAAATGGAACATTGCTTCAGATTCCAATTCTAGAGTGAAGTCGATGTTTGGGTGGGCTTTGTTGAAGGTTTGAGGTAGATTTCTGAGTTCCAAATTCTCATCACAAATGATGACATTGTCATCAATCTATCTCTTATAGAGATGAAGTTGATTGATAATTGGTGATAAGAAATTGTTTTCTTGGCTAGCCATAAAGTAGCCAGCCAAGAGGTAGTATCCTAAAGAAGAACTCATTGCTACGGCATCTATTTCCCTGTATATTACTTTATTGAATCTAAAGTAGACGTTGAAAGTGCATCGAAGTGATAATATCTCCTTCACCACAATATTTTAATGTCTACTCTTTCAAATTATGAAGCCGTGTAAAGATATTGATAATATTATGAGCAATAAATTGTACCCAAAACATCACTAATACGTTATTAATACCGTATTACTCACTGTGTGTCATATAAAACGTACTTATTTGTTATGGAATTCTATTCTACCCCACTGCCCCAAATGTAAATTTACACTACTCATATTCTTTGAACAAAGCATAGAATGGCAGTCAAACCCCTTGCTACCTCAACTTCATCGACTTCGAAAAGGCCTTCAACAGACAGTGTTGACCGGAAAGTAATTTGGAAACTACTTCAACACTACGGCGTACCTCAAGTCTTTATCAACCTCATTCAACAACTGCGTATATGACAATGAGGACACGTGTCAGGTGATCCACAACGGAAATCTCAGCGAGGCATCTGAAGTGAATACAAGAGTAAGACAAGGCTGGCTGCCTATTATCACCGATGATATTCTTAATTGTGGTGGACTGAATTATGCGTCAGACTGTGCGCAGGGAGCGAGAAGACAGGAATACGCTGGACTGATAAGAAGACTTCAGAAGATCTGGATTTCGCAGATGACTTGTATTTAATGTTACATAAACTCGAAGACTTGCAGACGAAAACCAACAAACTGGTAGAAGAGGCTGGCTGCCAGCGAAGACAGGATTAGTGGTGAACGTAGAGAAGACTAAGGTGGTGAAGTTAACCAACGAACCGCAACACCAACCAGCATCAATCACCATCAACAGGGGAGATTTGACAGAGGTTACTTCCTTCCTTCACTTATCCGGCTAGGAAGCACGGTTTCAACTATAGGGAGCTGGGACGGATGAAGATGTCAGAGCCAGCCAGCCAGCCAGAATCGGAAAGGTAAGATACACCCTCATCAATCTGAAACTAATTTGGAAATCTTCTGCACTTCACAGCACAAAGAACAATATTCGAATTTTCAACACCAATGTGAAGTCGGTCCGTCTATACGGGTCAGGAACTTGACGTGTAACGAAAAGGATTTCCAACAGTTTGAAGACTTTCATTAACAGCTGCCTTCGCTCCAAACCGAAGATCAAATGGCCAGCTGGCCAGAAAGAATTAGCAACAAGAAACTCTGACTGGGAACAAACCAACCAATAGCCGATTGCTCAACGAATATGTAGGAGAAAGTGGAGATGGATTGGGCATACGTTGAGGAGATCGTTGAATGACATTGCACGCTAGGCCAGCCCTCGAGTGGTATCCAAATGGGAAGCGACGAGTGGGTCGTCAATGCTTGGGTAACATGGAGGAGATCTTGTGAGGAGGAGATGAGAGATTATGGTCAATCGTGGAACTAGCCAACTAAAGACGATGACAGAAAATAGAAGAAAGTGGAAATATGTTGTTAAAGCCCTATGTACAACTCGAAACCCAAGGGAACAATAATAATAATAATATCTTCCGCCAATTATTATAAATCGTTAAATCCATGCTATATTCATTACTATATCTAACTATAACATTGGAAAAATCCTCTAGTCATGTCACAGGTGGTTAGTGCATAAACCATTTATTAGAATGTATGTGCATATTAGACCTGTCACTAAAAGGTAGGTACTTGTATAATCGATAAATTGTTGGGGACAAGTTATATTGTATTCATAGTAAAGTTCTTTTATTTTAGCCTGTAAGTTAAATTATTATTTCTACATTTGATATTTACTAATAATCAATTTTTTTAAACTTCAATTATACTTTAGGATGTTTTAAGCGAACGTGTACGAATCTATCGTACTTGGAAGACTGCTGAGGCTAATCTACGTTCAAAGCGTGAACAGAAAATTCGATTGGAAATGGCAGCTAAAAATGATAATAAAAAGATGGCTGTTATTGTAATGGAGTTAGAAGAGGTAAGAACAATCAGTGTAAATATTCCATTGGGTTTACTAACCGATGTCAGCTCATGATGAAATCCTGTAACCAATCAATCAAATCACTGCAAACCAACTCTTGAATATTGATCTGATGCTTACTAGCAATTGGCCCTATTCAGGTAGGTAGTTATCTGGGAAGTCGTTACCAGTGGGCTACAGCAGGTCGGGTGTGAGGACAAATACTCGCCAGCGATGACATTGGCTAGTGGTCGCGCTTTATCGTGAATTGGCAGAAGTCGGAATTCATGCTCCATTGGGTCGGGTCCCAGTGGATTAATGGTTTACGAGGTTGCCTTGTAACCGGAAGGTCCTGGGTTCCGAACCCCAGTCGGTCTGTGCGTACTGCCGAAGAGTCCCAATTGTTATCCTAACCGATGTCAGCTCATGATGAAGTCCTGTAACCAATGAAATCCCTGCAAACCAGCACTTGAATAAATATTCTGTATATTTTAATGGAAGATCAAATATGAGCTCACTGAAATTAAGAGAAATCGCATTGCCAGATATGAGAAGGTTAGCTGTCTTTGACTACATATGTTTGCGTCCTATCTTCCGTGTTAAGTAGCATAATAGGATGGGCATTATTGAGGTTAGGCGTAAGGTAAGTGTTAGGTAAGTCAGTCGATGAGTCGATTCAGATGGCTTGGACATGTGTTGGGAATCCTGAGCCACTGTCTTCCTCGATGGGCGATGTTAAGTGACATAGTGATTAGGTTGGGAAAAAGTTAGTCGTGATCAGAACAATACATGAAGTCCTTTGACTTTTGGTTTGAGCCAGCCACGTAGGGAGATGTAGACTTCCTGGTTGGTGTCCCTGAGATGATAAGTGCCAATGACTGACTCTAGAGACTGTTGGTGATATGGCTGAAAAGCATTATCAGTGGTGCAGATGCATTTACTCTTTTTATTTTCCGCATATCCATAAAATCCTCATGTTTCTCTATATTACTATTCTTTTTCGCTGATACTTCTGCTCCTTACAGTTCTTCCAAATCTCTTTTCTTTCTCGTTTGTCTGTCTTTGTGTGCTGCATGGAGTTTGACAACTTGAACTGCTGCACTTCTGTGCAAAGTTCTATGCTGAAACTCGGTCTGTCAGTCAGTTCCTACTGTAGAGTGCATTTAAGTATTTGTAGGTGAACTATTTTGAGTTCAAGATGAAGCTAGTTATGGCTGACTGGTTTCAACGTAGAACTTTGCACAGATGTGCAGCAGTTCGACTTGCCATACGTCATGTGGCACACAAGGCAAGGGAAGACAGTAAAGAGAGACTCAAGAGAGAGAGAGAGTGATAATAAACGGGAATGTCAGGCAAAAAGAATAGTAATATGGAAAAACAATAGAATTTTTTTGGATATTATGAATCACAAGGAGTGGATGCATCTGCACCAGCTATTGACAACGAGGATTTTCAGCCATATCACCCATTGTCTCCAGCCATTGGTTTTTTTTTCAACTCCTAGCTTAGTGATAGGGAGTGAAGTGGTAGAACATGTTGACCACTTCACCTATTTGGGAAGTTGTATCAGCACCAACGGATTGATTGGTGACGAAATCTCAGCACGGATTCAAAAAGCTCGGGCTGCTTTCGCTAACTTACACCGTCTCTGGCGTAGGCGTGACATCCGGCTATCAAACAAGGGATGTGTGTACTGCTCAGCAGTTCGCTCCATCCTTCTCTTTTAATCTGAAACATAGCTGAAGACATGAAAAGGATGACTGTTTTTGATCATAGATGTCTACGATCTCTTTCTCACGTTAGGTGGCATAATAAGGTAAGTAATGTTGACGTTAGGCGTAGAGTGTTGGGCAAAGAGGGAAAATCAATCGAAGAGGCTATAAAGCTACATAGATTGAGATGGCTAGGTCACGTGCTGTGCATGCCTAACCATCGTCTCCCCCTCCCCACGGGTATTACTAGCTGATATAGGTGCAGGTTGGAAAAGAGTAGGTGGTGGCCAAACAAAAACATGGCATCTATCCATGAAATCCTTGATAGTTAAACTGAGTCAGGTAGGGAGATGCAGAATTCCGGGTTGGGGCCAGCCCTCGGGACTCTAAGAATCAATGGCTGGAAACACTAGGTGACATGGCTCAAAATCGTTGTCAATGGCGCAGATGTATCCAGTCTCTGTAATCTTTCATATTCCTTTCTACCATTACTCATTCTGTTTCACTCTTATACTTGTCAAAACTCTATTGATTCTCTTCACTCATTTTCTTGTCTACCTTTGTGTGCTATTTGGAACGTGGCAACTCGAAGTGCTGCACTTCGGTGCCAAGTTCTATGTTGAATCCATCCAGCCAGCAGCCATTGGTTTTTACCATTTCAAGGACCCTAACCAAAAAGTCGACATTTCCCTAAGTGGCTTAAACTAACTGTTGTGGATTTCATTAACTGGTAAAGCCATGTTTTGGTTTGACCACCACTGGCTCTTTTCTAACCTGATAAGTCTTATGTCAGCTAACATCGCTCGTCGAGGAAGGCAATGGCTAGACATGTGCAACACTTGTACTAAGCATCTCTATCGGTGTTACTTTACAATCTCTATTGATTGCCTCTCCTTACGTAGAACTCGACGCCTAACTTCAATATTGCTCACCTTATTATACCGCCTCACACACACAGGAGATAGAACTCAGGCACCTATGATCAAATACAGCTAGCCGTCATTGTCATATCTTCCACTTTCAATGGCCATGTCTCATAGCCAGTCATAAAGGAGGACGGAACGGACTGCTGAGCAGTACCTACTTCCTTTGGTCGACAGCCGAATATCGCATCTACGCGAGAAAAGGTCTACGTTGGAAAATGCCGAAAGAGTCTTCTGTATCTGTGCTGAGATTTTGTCAGCGATGATGCAGCTCCGCAAATGAGTGAAGTAAGTGATCAATACGCTCAGATACCACTTCACTCCCTATCTTTAAGCTAGGAGTCAATGTAGTCCAGTCCTGTAGCATCATATTACATTTGAAGGGAGTGAATCGTATGCCAAATATTCGTTAGTTATAGAATTAATGTCTCCGTTCTAATTCATCATGAAAGTATTCTTTCGTTTATTTAGATATAAATTCAGCATAGGAAGGATATCGAATAATCTGAATTTGTTTATTTTGTTAGACTTTTGTATGCTACAGTGTAGCTGACAGGTTTCCACTATCAAACCGGCAGTCTCAACAGATGTTTTCATTATTCAACACATAATTGTTATAATATTATTATTTCCTTTAATTCCTAGAGTAACATAGGACTTCAGTCGCGCGTCTCCACTGCGTTCGGTTCTCTGCTAGAGTTTTCACCTGGCTCCAAGTCTGCTCACACGCTTTCATCTCCTCTTCACATGACATCCTCCAAGTCACCCTTGCACTGACGACCAACTCGTCGCTTCCCTTTCGGGTTCCACTTGAGGGCTAGTCTAGTGATGTTACTTGATGATTTGTTTCCTCAGAGTATGGCCAATTCATCTCCATTTCTTCCTGCATATTTGTAGCACAATCGGTTCCTGGTTGGTTTGCTCCCACAGGTACCGATTGCTGATGTTTTTTGGCCATCTGATCTTGAGTATTGAGCGAAGACAGCTGTTAATGAAGGTCTGTCGTTTGTTTGAGATGCTCTTTATGACGCGCAGTGCAAGTCTCTGATCCGTATAGTAGCACTGATTTCACATTGGATTTGAAAATCCGGACCTTATTTTTCATGCTGAGTGCTGTTGACCTCCACACAGACTTGAGAGTAGTGAAAGCTTGTCTTGCTTTTCCGATCCTTGTTTTGATATCCTCATCAGTTTCGTCCGCCTGTAGTTGAAACGATGCTTCCCAGTTAAGTCGGAAGGGAAAGGAGGTAGTTTCTTCCAAGTTCCTCCCATTTATGCTGATTGTTGTCAGTTGTTGTTGTCGCTGTTGGTGGTGTTGCCCAGGAATCTTCATCACCTCTGTTTTCTCTATGTTTACTTGGAGTCCTATATTTGGTGCTTCTTCTGCCAACTTCAACACTTAAAAATAGACCTTTTGAACATGTATAAGCTCCTAAAAAGGCACGCAATTTCGCTGAACCACTGAGATACTATTATTGCATTACTGATGATAATTTTGTAGTTCATGTCCATGCAAGTAAAGTAATTTCTTTTTAAAACTTCCTTTCCGTTCCTAGTGGATCATGGAGCTCCAAATTTGAACTTTGAAGTTTCATTAGTACTGGTGTTGATTATTTACTGAGTGGGCTTGCTGGTGCCACATCCAACCTTCCCTCTTTACCGTGCGTCGGTGGCATAGTGGTTATGACTCTCGCCGACCATGCACATGGTGTGGGGTTCGATCCCCTGCCGACGCACACCCGATATCTATGGTCGGCCTGCAAAATTTGGGCTACCGATATCCATGCTGAAAATTCCATACTTGTACTGAAAATACGGTGTGGCATCAAGCTGTAATCAAAATTTTAAAAAAATAAATAAAAATACTACTGGGCGTGTGGGGTTTAAGAATGCGTTAGCCAGGGATGGGATCCCGGACAACATGGATGGTCGACGGTCATTCTATCGCTGAATCACCGAGCTACCGATGATGCCGACAAATGTTATTCAGATTCCATCAAAATATTCTTACTCGTTTTGGAGTTAACGCCTTCCATCCATCAATTGTTGTGTGTACCAAAACATTTTTTTAGATTCTATCCATGCCTTATCTGCATATCTTAACATATTTGTTTTTGCTTTTGTTTTTCTATTTTAAAACTTTTATCTTTAAGCTGGAAAATCGTGTTGATCAAGCTGAACATAAATTCAATAATATATCAGAAAATATTAAGCGAGAATTTCAAAACTTTGATCTCAATCGTTTCACATATTTTAAGCAGGCCACTTCTGAATACTTAGAATTATTACTACAAATTCAAATAAAAGTAAGTGCGTGCTGTTTTGCAAAATTGTAATATGGTGTAGAGGGGGATGTCAGTTTGTACAATTTTTAGTGCGTTGATATAAGAATAGAATGTGTGCACTGTGGTAGAGCATTATTCCATCGTGGATAAGATTTATTTTGATAAAGTCTCACAATGTTTTATGCAGTAATATTTACTCATGACATCGTTTCAAGCACAATTTATTGCCACTCATAATCATATCAATTTATTCACACAACTTTCTAACTTCGTTTTTATGGTTCCACTATTTCTCATCTCTTGATTTGATTGGTAGTTAAATTTTTTATAATTCTGGTATGAGTAATGAGTGATTTCTGTTGCACGTGTTGCGTGTATGATAGTGACAACATAAATAAGAAAGAATATAAGGCATCTACAGTTTTACCATATTAGGAGCGGATATATGGCATTCCACGTAGGATTCTTAATAAAGCAGGAATTACGGTGGCATTTAAACCTATAAACTCACTCAGGTAGGACAAGCTGTGTAGGTTAAAGGACCCTGTAGGTTGACCTGATTAGAAAAAATAATATAGTTTACAAAATACCTTGCAATGACTGTGAGTTAAGTCAACTACATAGGTCAAACTGTAACGACAGTAGGCAAGGGCCAGGCAACAGATTGTTTATTGAGAAAATCAAGAGGTATTTATAGATTTTTATGTACATAATTGTTAGTGGAGAATCAACGTCTCCTGATTAGTTGTTTACTCGCTGAAGGTTATTCTGTTATCTCTTCGTGGCCGTTTCTTAGAAAAACCAAGGCGTATATCTGCGAATCATATTTCCACACGTTAACTCAATTACTTACCTTACTTTTACTTTACTTCGGCTATTTCCTACGGGAGGATGAGCCGGCTTCATGAACATCTCGAATCAAGAGAGTTCATGAAGTTTCATGGGAATTTGGTACGAGTGATGTCCCCAGAATCGCTCGGCCTTTTTGTTTGAGAGTGCAGCTCTAGCCTTTACACAACCAAGTGTGACCTACAAGGCAGTAGGAGTGGAATAGGGAGTCCACTATCCATTGGCAGCCGGTGACCAGAGTTCGGTTCATACGCCTTCTTGAATGGGGCCAGACATCCAGGACATCCAACAAGCCCTTTGTCCATACGTCTGCCGGTGAGCTCCAGTGAGCTTCATACGCCAGTCATTGGAGGTTTGGAATCAGGGTTTAGCCATCTCCCCTAGACTGTCATCCAATGGACAGTCAACCTGGTGAAGAGCGCCGGGCATCCGCTTTCGCCCTCTCACTTTGGTGAAAAACACCTCTGCCACGTGAAGGCAGTGAGTAGGACTTCCTCAGGAGAGACTGGTTGGTGATTTTCTCAAGGTTAAGCTTTGCTATTGTTTTTCTGATAACCCCGATTCGGGACGTGAACATTGGCGTAAATTGTTGTCTACAATTTTAGCTTGCAGCCAGCTCTCGCTGCAAAACTAGTAGATTGAGGGTAGTGAGATTGTCGGAGCATAATAATTTGGGTAAGGTTAGAATGATTGACCCGAGAAGCTAGGTCATTTGAGAAAAAAATCTCAGCAATTGCACTGCATGTACTAACACACAACCATGCAATAGGATGGGGGAGGGTTAAAATTCTAAAAAGTAATAGAGGCAGGTGGAGAGGGAGGTTTTATTACTCAATCTGTGTTCAACGAATCTACACCCAACACATGCAACAGGAATGACTCATCACTCATACCAAAAATATGGAAAATATTACCACCAATCAAATCAAGAGATGAGAAACAGTGGAACCATATAAACGAAGTTAGAAAGTTGTGTGAGGAACTTGATGTGGTAATGAGTGGCAATAAATTGTTCTTGAAACGATGTCGTCAGTAAATATTACTGCATAACACACTGTGAGACTTTATCAAAATTAGTTTTATCCACAATCGGATGTTTAGTGCGTTATGCATTTAGTCTGTACTGTTGGGTGACATTACTAATTGAAAATCTCTAACACCGCCAAATAGTAATGTTTACTAGTCTGATAGTTGATTGAACTCTGGACTGCGCACGACAACTGCCACTTCGCTTCACGATGAATATAAAATGAAATTTATTGCCTAATCAGTGTAGTAATAGATTGTTCTTTCGGAGGACTTGTCGAAATTACTTAGCGATTTACGAGACATGCATTGACCTCAGACAAAATTAACACCAATACTCAGATCATCCTAGAAAAGTTCTATCTTACCCACTAATTATATTCACCTGCGAAATTGAGTAAGACCATATTTTATTCCTTCTTGATCTTCTACTATCGAAGAGACTAGATGGTAGTGTTAAATGGGTTAGTCAATATGCACCTTTCAGTTTATTTGTTCCCCTCTTGCGAACAAATGAATTTTGATGGGCTATTTGAGGGACATTTGTTCAATCGTTACACAACTTAGCAACGTGATAACGGATTTACAGAAAACTTTGTAAAATTCGCTATATAATGAGGACTTTCCAGAAGAGGTGTTTAGAAACTGCGCTAAAACAATGTCTGCATCCAAGAAGAATAATCGAATTGAAACTGTAAAACACATTGATAAGGAAAACTTTCTATGCTTATAGAAGTGTGTAGGTGACCATCACTTCCAAGTTTCCCACACCATGGAAGTTGATTTCGTTTTGAGTCACCTAAAACAGGAGCATTAGTGTGTTGCGTGACAGCAGAGCACAGGTGGAACTGCTTAGAACAGGTCACACACACACACTATCTGTTTGAAGTGGTTTATGGAGTTGTCCCCTTATTAGGATCTTACCGTCGTCTACGGACTACCGCAATGAATATAAGTTGGGATGTACAATTCTCAGAGTCGACTCTTTCTATCGCCGCTCTCCTTGGAGCAGATAAGCAGCTTAGCTGGCTTGCTAGTTATCTGAGGGAAGTAGTGCTTTGTGCGCAAAATGAAGTGTGGTGACTTGAACTACCGCACATCGGTGCAAAGTTCTACGTTGAAACTAGTCAGTCAGTCACTGGTCACTAGACACTCGAACTCCACTGCCTTAATGCGATGGGGGTGTTCCTCACGAAAATGAAAGGATGAATCAGAACTTCTGGTTCTTACAACCGGACTGGTTAACATGATAGTCTACCTAGGAGAGCTGGAAAACTTTGATTCCAAACGCATGGTGTACATGAGCTACAGAATCCTATTGGATCGACTGGCCTATTAACTTGTTTTATCCTCTGGCAACTTTAGGGACGTCGCTCATAACGCCAGTCCACTGCCTTATGAATGAAACTTCAAATCAAAGGCTGGAGGTATTGTCCCTAACGAAAACTGACCGCTTCGGTCTTGACATCCTGGTGGTATCTCAACCTTCGCACAAACTATGAGACAACAACTTGTGTGTGTGTGTAAGTATAGTATCACTAGCTCTCACACATAAAGTTTGGCTCATTATCAACTGCATGGAACTGTAATCGATTGTTGGGCGAATTAGTACTACCATATTATTCAAGTGTTTTCCTGTTAGCGATTGCTTTAATTCATCGTAAATTTCGATGGCTATACATATTAAGTTTTCTAACTTCTGTCAATTCGCGATTTTTAACATCGATAACCACTGCCACCAGCAAGTATTTGTCCTCACACCAGTTTACGCTGTCCCTGGCGTAAACGTGATACCTGGCTACCGACCAAAGGGCGTAGGTACTGCTCAGCAGTCCACTCCGTCCTCCTTTATGGCTGTGAGACCTGGCCATTGAGAGTAGAGGACATGAAAAGGCAAGCTGTCTTTTTGATCATTGGTGCCTGGGTTCTATCTCCCGTGTGACATGGTACAATAGGATGGACAATATTGAGGTTAGGTGTCGCGTGCGAGTTAAGGAGTGGAAACCAATTGACGAGGCTGTGAAACTACATTGACTGAGATGGTTAGGACATGTTTTAAGTATGCCTATTCATCGCTTTCCTCGACGGGCAAGGTTAGCTGACATAGGATGGTTCAGGTTAGAAAAGAACTAGTGGTGCTCAAACACAAACATGGAGTCACTCAATGAAATCCACAACAGTTAGTTTAAGCCATTCACGTAGAGAGGTATAGACCTCTGTCTAGTTGGGATCCTCGGGATGGTAAGACCAATAGCTGGAGACGATTGGTGGTGATATGGCTCAAAATCGTTGTTAATGACGGCGCAGATGCATCCACTCCTTGTGACTTATAATACCCAATGAAACTATATTGCTCTTCGCAATTACTATTCCTTTCGTCTCATATCCCTGTCTACTGTCTCTATTATGCATTTCTTCTACTTTCTTCTCTTGCTTTGTGTGCTACATGGACTGTGGCAGCTTGAACTGCTGCACACTTGTGCAAAGTTCTATGTTGAATCCAGTCCAGTCTTCACACCACTGGTCATGGCTTCTCACTGGAATTCTAGGCAACTTCGTCCTGTTATCAATCAATCAGGTTAATTAATATTCAGGTGTTAGATTGTAGGTCTTTGGTTGACAGAATTTGGAATCCATCGGCCAGCTATATTGGATTCCGTCCCAGTGGCGCTGAATAGGACAATGAACTCACCTCATGACCAGAAGGTTTTGGATTCGATCCCCGAGGGTGCATACCGCTGAGGAGTCGCAAACTAGGACGTGGCAACTGTCCAGTTTTCCCTGATAGCTGTCACTTGTTCCTCTAACTGATATCAGTCTGTGATTAAACTTGAAACGTATATTAGGCATCTTTTTTCCCTTACGTTCCCAGTGGAACATAGGGCCTCAAGCTAGTGGTTTGAAGTTTCTGTAGCAGTGGTGTTTATTTTTACAGGATGGGGTTGCTAGCCTCATGCCCAACCTTTCCTCTTCACCAGCATTATTTGTGGCTTAGCGAGGTAAATGAGTGCGTCGGCCAGAGGTCGAACCCCGGACCATGTGCATGGTCGGCGAGCGTCCTAACCGCCGTGCCACCGACGCACGTGCGCATGTATATATACCTCATGATTGGGTTCTAAATAGTCTAAGAGGTTAACCGGCTTTTTTTCTTGTGTATTGTTTTTTTTCCTTTTCTTAGGTATTAGAGAATTGGGAGAAGTATTTGTCTCTTTCGAATGGTGTCAATTGAACGCTTCTGCTGCTGCTGCTTATTGTCTCTGGTCATTTGGAATTCCTGTTTATACTTATGATACTTATTGAATGAATATGCTGCATTCATAATTTTACATTTTGATACTTACTGTTTTGGCGATTTGATGATCTGATTTCACTTTTCTTTTTTTGCCTATTCCTTCTTTTTGATTTTCTCTTTTGTAATCTTTGCTTACTTACTTTCCGTTTTTTTTAATGTACACTAACTACACTACGATGCATCCATATCTGCAGACACCCACCCACACACACGCACTTGATTCCAATACCCTCTTGGTTAGGGAGGTTGTGATATCATATATATATATATATATATATATATATATAACTCTGTAATTTATTCAACTTTTAGGGAATGGTCACTGTTTCTTTGTTGATTGCACGTGCAAAGAAATCAATACAAACACAATATAATATAATGATAGCCTCAATGATTTTGTCCGGTTTTTTGATATTAAACAAATAACGTATATTTCGTGGCTTTATTGCTTGTAATATAATGCATAAGATGATATATTTAGTTGAGGTGGTATTGTTCGTGTGCACCGGATAATGATAGATGTTACTTACCACAAACTTGGTGCATTGTGGCCCCCCACCCCATTAGATGCACTACACAAAATCTCATAGTTGGTGTGTGGACTGAGATACTTCCCGGACGCCCAGACTGAAGCAGGTGGGTTGTCTTAATGGGTCACTACCTTCGAACCTTTGACTTGAATTCTCATCCACATTCAGTGGAGCTGCATACCCCCTGGTTGTCGGTGATCAAAACAAGTCCACGCGCCACTCGGTCCGTTCAGATGTCTGAATTTGTTCCTTTCATGCCGCCTACAACTACTTCCGTAGTTATTGCACCGCCCTACTGTCCGAGTGAGCTTGTGCAACTGAAGTGATGAAAATGGATGGGGTTGCTTATTCTTAGAAATTATATGCCTTATATGTGCTTGGCACATTGAAACCACTTATTATTGTGGAGAAAAGAAGTTCAGCAAAGATATCTGTCTTTCCGGCGATTTCATTCTCAGAAACAGCTGTACAATCGCACTTATGTACATAAGTCTACATAGATATAATTATTATTTAATTCCACATAATAACGAAGGAGATTAAAGGTAACAATAATTTTCAGCGTGATATGAAAGTTCAAGGATGTGAACAAAGACTGACTGACTGACTGGTTTCAACACAGAACTTTGCACCGATGTGCAGCAGTTCGAGTCGCCATACTCCATGTAGCACACAAAGCAAGAGAAGAAAGTAAAAAGAAATGAAAAATAGAGACAGTAAACAGAGATATGAGGCAAAAAGAATAGTAATATCGAAGAACCATATAGTCTTATTGGATAAGTCACAAGCAGTGTATGTATCTGCGCCTTTGAGAACGAGGATTTTGAGCCATATCACCACCAATCGTCTCCAGCTTTCATTGGTGTTTACCGTCCCAAAGACCCCAGCTAGGAAGTTCACACCTTCCTACGTGGCTGGCTTAAACTAACTGTTGTTGATTTCATTGACTGGTGAAGCCATGTTTTGGTTTGACCACCACTGGCTCTTTTCCAACCTGACCCTATGTCAGCTATTATGAATACAGATTACAAGGGGCTTAGAATCAAAATTGCAAAGGATTAGAAAATAATTTTAACGAATACAGATGTGAATGGGATGAGCATGCTAACAAATTGAAATCGTAGCTTTTCATAAATGAAATGAGGGGAATGAAAAAAAGCGAAAACTAAGGAGTCAAAGCGAACTAGATCCAGGATAAATGTAAAGGCTGAACTAGTTTTTCTTGAACACATAGCTCCGGCTTTTCGGTGTCAATGGCTAGGACTTCTGCAGTTCATAGAAGTCGGCAACACACTGCCTTTGATAGATTTTCGTTTACTTTGTAAATGACTCTGTACGATGAGTCAATTGAGATTCTGTGATGAGGTGTCCAATTATGGTGCATCTGATTGAACCAGTGCCTCCTCTTTGCAACCATGCCGTGTAATGTTCTCTAACACATTTTGACAGGACCCGCATAGAGTGACCTATGTACCTAACTCTACACAAGCAGGTGGACTGATATATGCACATTGGAGTGGTTGTATGTGGAAGTTCGTCCTTCACGGTGCTTAAAAGCAGTGAGTGGCTAGACAATATCATTCAGAGTTGCTGCGGAAAAGGTCCTCTATAGGGAACTAGAGATGCTTCGCTTAAAAATATCGGCCTCTGAAGTTTGGATTCAAATAAAGTGTTTTCTTTGGTATTGAAATGCATTATTTTTTGGCTTCGGTCTCATTTTGTCTACGAAACGCGCCAGTGTCCATTGTAAGCAAGCATATCCTTGAAAAATAAGAGCTGTTCTTCTAAGCAGTCACCCCCTGAAACTCTTCCGAAACGACGGGCCAGTGAGATAATGAGAGCTCTTTTTTCACTGACAGGTATCCCACTATAAAAGTTTGTTAGTTGGCCATGGTCTTCAGAGTTCCATCATCATCTCCTCTTGTCAATTCGATTTCCAGAAATAGAATCTTTGATTTATTTCCTATTTCCATCGTGAATTTTATTGAGGGATGGCAATTGTTAAACTCTTGTAAGATAAAATTTAAATCGGAATCATCAGGATAACATAAAATTGTCGTTGACATACCTTTTGGTACAGCAGTAATTTACCTGTCGTTGATTTTACTATCTCATTTTCCAAGCTGACCATGTAGCAGTCTAACAAAAGTAGACCGTTGTTGTTTCCACTACGTTTTTTAATAAATAAAAAAACTTGTGTTCATCGTAATTTCTCGTTTAATTAGATCTAAATAGTAGTTTAGTAAGGTGGCTAGAGGTTTCGTCAATTTACATTCAGTAAGCATTGAACTATCAGTATTTTTTCAGTGGTGTAAAGGCATATCTTCACCCCCAAAAATACACCAGTTTGAATGATTGCCAGCAGGATACTAGCAAAAACGAAGTATTACTGATGCAGTAGATCCTAAATGCCATTCTGAAAACACGAGGATGCAAATTTATGTGCTTAACTCTGAAGTCTTCTGCTTAGATATGACTGTCAAACGACATTTACTTCCAGAGACTAGCAGTGTGGTTTAAGATCACTTCTGTTCTTCATCGTAATGTATTGTCGTAAATTTGTACCCAGTGAATGAGGCAGGATGCTTAATGATTTACAGGCTCTAGGATTTCTCTATTAAATTAATTTCTAAATTTTATTCACGTCTTTAATTCGTTTTAGATTTTCCCGTTGATTGATTGGGCCTAAGTGTTCGGCCTCTGTTGACATATCGGCTCCTTGTGCGGATGCTCTGACGATGTCTGAGAATTTAAGTTGAAGTATTCTTGTGGATGATGGAATACAGCTTGATGTGCCTCTCGTCCCGTTGGGAACTAGTCAACTGGATGTGCCTGCATTCCCGAATGGGTGATGGTGATCTCATTGAGGCTGGAAAACAATACCCATCGTTTAAACTCTGAAGCGTTATCCACTAGACCACAAGGAGCCGACAGTTCAACAGTGACCGAATATTTCGGTCCAGTCAATCAACGGGAAAGTTCAAATCGAATTATGCAATAACTGACACCCTTTGTACAAGAGGTGGCTGTTGTGGCCTAGTGGAAATCGCTTTGGCGGCGTTTTAAACTATGGGCACTGGGTTCGAGTCTCACTGGGAACACCACTACTCACTTGGGAATGCAAGTGCATCCAGATGAGTCCAAAATAGGACAATAGGACAGGACATCCTGAATTCCACTGCTAGTCACCACTCACCAAATTGTTCGCGTATGTTAACATGTTGACCTTAGCTATTGTTGCGAAACCACAGGTTTCATAAGGTTTTTTTGAATAGCTTCGATGGTCACAATAATTCCTTTCATCTTATCATTAAAATAGCAGGCATAAATAATGCTTGTTATTTCTTTTGGTGCCTAACAGAACATAGGGCCTCAATGGCACATCTCCATTTTTTGTTCTCTGTTGGTTTTTTCAACTGGCTCCACGATTATAATGATAATAAGACTTATGCAGGTGGCGATAAGAATAGCGAAGGTAGTGTGTCTATGTAAACAATTCAATAAATAAATTAGGCATAACCTTAGAAGTTACGTCATACTAAAGATCAAGTAGATGGATGATCAGAGTTTAAATAAAAATAATAAAAACACGAAGGAAATGGAAAATAAGAAAGGGTGGGAGGGTTTTAATTAGAATTTACCTAGGCCAAGGGGGAGACAAACGTAGGACAAACTTCTTTTGTAAGCAAAGACTAGGATTGTTCTCTCGAATTCCCATAGCTTTGGTTGTGTGTAAAAGGTGGGCTGGAATTCTGTTTGAAGGGTTCGATGGAATGAGATAGATAACTTTGAAGGCACTACTTCTGTCCACACTTGGTGATCGCTATCAATCAAATGAGACAAAATGGAACTTCTTATAGATTTTATCTGGTCTTTTTCGAACCATGAAGGAAGATGCTCAGTAATGGTGCGTTTGTTGAGTCGTCTAGTTGTTCGTCCTAAATAGCCAGCTTTCTCCGCAGGAGCAGCTAAATTTGTCGATAGACATAGAAGTGGCACAGCACAGATGGCAGCTTGTCTTTCGCTTGAGCAATCATAATTGGTCGGCTGGGAAATGCCTGTTGTTCATGTGTTTCCTTACAAATCTACTAGAATAATCCTTATTGGCTCCACGATTGCCTATGAGCTTTCGCGTACTCGTAACAGGATATCCTCTATGTTACTCTACGCCCAATTCGTCATTCCCCATTGGGGTTCCACTCCAGGGGCCTGGCGCGTAATGTTGCTCACTGGTGACGTCATCGTGTGCCAAATCCATCTCAATTTTCTTCTGAATATTTGTTGGGCAATATATTTTCGGCTAAATAGTTCCCCTATTAATGTAGGGTAATGAGTAGTGGTGATGTTGCGAGTGCTACTGTTTAAATTTATCGGTAATATGTAAAGAGGCCCTCATTGGCATAAAAGCGTCAAGTAGCAAGGAGATACATTTGATTTCAAAGAAGGCAAATCATACAGCGTTGTGGAGATAAATGAGAGATGTGGAAGGAACACGAAGTAACAAAATATGAAAGAAGGACAGAAGTAGCACAACACGGAAGATCTGTGAAAATTGTGCCTTGAAGATAAGGTGTACTTAATTCTACTACATAGAGATACCTATTTCCAAATAAACATTCCTTTACCATGTCTTCGTCTTCTACTGTTTCAGTGGGATCTGTAATCGAACTGCCTCTGTCAGGATGGAGTCTGCCTGAAAATCTCCTTTTCGTGTGAATACTTTTCTTTCTAAACTAATCGGACGTAATACAAACAAGTTATAATACTTCTTTTAAAAACTGTATGCCATCTTTCACAGGACAGTGATTGATTCCAGTACTTAGATATCGTTCAGCACTAGAAATTAGGTAACAGTCTTATACCTGCGAATGTTATATTTTCCGCACATTAATCGCCTGATATCCAGTTTTTGAAAAAATGACTATTCCGCTTATTACACATTTAAATCGTGCGATTTGGATTATAGTGTCAGGATTACTCCAGAAAATAATCATGTGCAATGGGAATGCATAAGTGAGGCATTTACAATTAAAGCTGTCATTTTCTTCTCACCGGAATTCCTAGTATAAACGCAGTATTAAAGCACCACTACCATTTCAAGTTAATTCTCCTGAATGTTTAAGAAACTTGCTGCATGCATCCCCAAAAGCATTTCCAACAAGCTACTACAGACATTCATCAACAGCTGTCTACTTCACTCCGTTCTGATGATCAGATGGCCGGCCGGTAGGCCAGAAACGATACACACCAAGGAACTCTGGTATTCAGTGAACCAAACAAGAACCTATCACCGATGCTTTGAATACACGCCAAGTAACTTTATGCTCAAGGCGGAAGCTCGAACGAGAAACAACGAGTTGGCGCCCTCTGGGGTATTATATAGGAGATGAAAGCTTTTGGTAAGTTGTGGAACCGGATAAAAATGACTGTAGAGAGAGTGGGGTGAAATGGTAATTGGCTACTGAAACCCTATGTTCCATTCGGAACCCAAGGGAATAATCATAACAATGTAGTTCGGTTTCTATTTTACACCTGACTAAAATTTATTGTATTGTGAGTAAATAGTTACATATATATATGCGCATACATTAATTTCAACTTGAAACAGCTATTGATTCATTGTTTTCGATGTTTACGCTATAAAATGATGTCGAAAACTTGTTTTGATTTCTACTATAACTACTAATGCAAAACTGTCCGAAGTATTTGGTTGGTTTATAGACAAGCACTGTACTATAATTACCTAATAGGCTATCGGTAAAACAATAACGAATGATCAAGTTGTTTATTGCATACTGCTTGTTTAGTCCAGGCAGGTAAAAATCAATCAGTAATTCAGGTTGTATATTGATTCACACTTGGAAGTTTGTGTGATTGGTTTAATATCTGGTGTATTTATTTCTTAACGCTAAATGAATATGCCTGATGACTGTATTATTATTAATCATTGTTTCCTTTAGTTCCTAGAGGTACATAGGGCTATAGCTGCACGTCTACAGTGCGTTCGGTTCTCTGCCAACGTTTTTACCTGGCTCCAGGTCTACCCACATGCTTTCATCTCAATATATGTGTAAAACTTGGGCACTGTGGTAGTAAGTAATTCCATATTAGTTTGTTTATTTGATATATCACACAGTGAAACAGTATTATTTACTGGATGACAAAGTTTCGAACAAAATTTATTGTTCATAATCATATCAATATATAATTGATATGATTATGAACAATAAATTTTGTTCGAAACTTTGTCATCCAGTAAATAATACTGTTTCACTGTGTGATATATCAAATAAACAAACTAATATGAAATGCTTTCATCTCCTCTTCACATGACCTCCTACATGTCACCCTGGAGACCAACTCGCCGCCTACCACTAGGGTTCCACTCGATGGCCTGTCTTGTGATGTCACTTGATGGTTTTCTCAGAGTATGGCCAATCCACCAACTGCATTTCTTCCTGCATATTTGTTGCACAACTGGTTTCTTCTGGGTTGATTCGTTCATTGCCAGAGATCCTTGTTGCTGATTTTTCTGGCTGGCCATCTGATCTTGAGTATTGAGCAAAGACAACTGTTAATGAAGGTCTGTAGTTTGTTTGAGGTGCTCTTTATGACGCGCCAAGTTTCTGATCCGTATAGTAGCACTGACTGAATTCACATTGGAGTTGAAAATTCGGATCTTATTTTCCATGCTGAATGCTGTTGACCTCCACACAGACTTGAGAGAAATGAAAGCTTGCCTTGATTTCCCAATCCTCGCTTAGATATCCTCATCAGTTCCGTCGGCCTGTAGTTGAAACGATGCTTCCCAGGTAGGTAAAAGATGTTGTTTCTTTCAGGTTCTTCCCATTTATGCTAATTGTATTCTGTTGTTGTTGTTGTTGTTGTTGGTGTTGGCCAGGAATCTTCATCACCTCTGTTTTATCTATGTTCACCTGAAGTGAGGTCCTATCTTTGATGCTTCCTCTGCGAACTTGTTTCTTTTCACTTGCATATCTTCCAGTTTGTGGGAAATCAGACATATATCATCGGCGAAGTTCAGATCCTCCAGGTTTTTTGTGTGGGTCCATTTTATGCCTGTTTCCTCATTGCCCACTGTCTGTCACATTATCCAATCTACCACAATCAGGAAAATCACTGGAGACAGTAGGCAGCCAGCTTGTCATACTCCCATCTTCACTTCGAAAGGTTCTGTGAGTTTCCCATTGTGGATTACTTGGCACGGAACCTTGTCGCACAACCGCTGGATGAGAGATACAATTTTTGCGGCACCCCGTAGTAGGGAAATAGTTGTCAAATCACTACTCGATCGACGTTGTCGAAGGCCTTTTCAAAGTTGATGAAGTTGAGATAGAGGGGTGACTGCCATTCCAAGCCCTGTTCAATGATGATCCGTAGTGTGGCGATTTGATCAATACATGACTTGTTCCTCCTGAATCTAGCCTGTTCCGGTCGAAGATTTTCATCCAGGGCTTGTTTGATTCTCTCCAGGATGATGCCACTTAGTATTTTGCTTGGGGTGAACAGGAGTATAATTCCGGGCCAGTTCTTGCATTGACTTAAGTCTATAATACTTAAGTTCTATAATACTATATAAAACGACATTCATGAAAACAGTACATTTTCATTCGAGGAATGGTGGCTAGTAGTGAAATCGAGAATACACGCTTCGTCCCACTTGGAACTCATAGGTTTGGATGTACCTGCACCCTCAGTCAGTGATGGTGTTCCTTGGAAGAGCGTATTACCAAGTCATATAAGATCAGTAATCTTAGGACCGCCTCCATTCTACCTATTCAAGTATATGGAGACGAAACACCAGCAAATTTGTTTTGCAATAACTCCCATCCTGACTCGTCAAAAATTCGTAAGCTTTTAATAAAGTGTATTTTTAAAAAGTACAAACCATTCTGTTTTATTCTACAAAAAAATATATATATATACTTAATTTAAAAATGTAGAAAAACTTTTTCGAGTTGTTTAGTTTCTAATTCAAAAGACATTGTTATTTCTGTTCATATTGTGCAATATAAACACGTGTACCTGAAGCGAATGCAAACTGGATTATGCGTTTTACACCACCACTATTGGCATTATCATTCCCATTGGGTTGAATGCAGGCCAGTGAATAAACACCATTGGTAAGTTCTGAAACTGAGCCTACAACCTAGAGAAGGAAAGAAAGAACACAGAAGTAAAACGTCTTATTAGTGCAAAATAATAATAATAATTGTAATATACAATTGTAGTCTAATTATTTATATATTCTTAATTAATCAATAACTTTTCAGCCTGAATTCATTTCCTAACTGTTTCAACTGCCATGCGTGAATAGACTTCATTACGAGACATACTGTTTGAAAGGAAAAATCAAAGAGAAACATGAAAGAAAATTAGTGTGTGTTAGTAAAAGCCTGAGATATCTTAATTGTCTTTACTGAGATTTTTCTTTAATTTATATCTGATGCTTATTAGTGGAGTGGAGTGATGTGGAAAGTAAGGTATAAAAGTTAGAAGCGAAAATTTCCTATTTCGAGGAAGTGTTGAATATTTAATTGTTTTAAAAGACAGATTAAGGAACAAAGAATATTCTTAACGATAAATCCGTCATCTGTATGACCATAATTAATTAAAGAAATAATATTATTAACAACATTAATGTTGTTTTAAATTACATTGATTCAATAATGCCGATAGACCACAGTTCGAAAGCATAAGTGAGAAATAATATGTATCAGCATAACACTAAACTGATTGGATATCAGATAAATTAAGGGAAACAACACAGAATTTAATTGGTGGATGGTGACTAGCAGTTGAATCCAGGATGCGCGTTTCGTCCTATTTGGAACTCTTCAGCTGGATATGCCTGCAGAAGAAATAACACAGAATTTATGAATTTATATGTTTGATAGCAGGCCAGGGTAACAATAGTGGCTGGCTCTGTTTCTTTTGCACTCACAGCTCCATTCGGTTGCAATGGACTCTTACATTTGGAGTGGTCGGTCTCTAGAGGCCTCTGGTAATTTATTCGATATCCGATAAATGATAATGAAAGACTCTTCACTACTAGCTAGCTTTGTAGCCTGTTTAGATGAGGTGATCTAATACAGAACTGTTGACGGTTTCCACAACACCTGGTTAGTTTAGTTGTGAAACTTTCGTTGTCCTTCTGAAAAAGATCTTCAGCGCAGTAATAATAATGGGCCCCAACGGGGAGCCCATTGCCACGCCATCAACTTGTTTACAGAGTTCACCATAAAATTTAAAATACATATCCATAGTACAATTCAGTAACAATTCTTTAAGGATTTCTATTGGAGCCCCAATATTTATTTGTCCACAGATGTAATTACCGTTTCAATAAGAGGCAAATTTGTGAATAGTAATGTTACGTCCAAAGATAACATAGTTCTATCTGTGAATTCAAATACAACTGTCACACGATATTTCACTAGCTGTTCATGTAAGAGTTTTAGAATTAGCTATCAACCGTTTAGCTAAATCATGGCTGGGTGAATTGTGCATGTCTAGAATTTGTCTTAACAGCACTCCAGGTTTGTTACTGAGGTGGTCAATTTGACTGGTGTTTATTTATCCACTTTACTGTCAAGAATGATAATGAATGCTGCACGATTAATCCATTCCGTTAGAGGAACATTTGGGATATTGAAGTTAAAAATAATGTCTCCTGATACACATTTCTGTTATTTTATTTGGTCCCGAGTGAAATTGACGGTCCCAGTTGCATACCTCCATTTTGCTCCATCCCCCCTCCTCCACACACACAGTCTATTTTGGCTGTCTCCACAACTTTTCATAAGCCTTTATTTCCTCCTCACACGAAATCCTCCTTGTCACTCTGGAACTCACACCCAACTCGCTGTTTCCCTTTCATGTTCCATTCGACAGTTTGCCTGGCGTACGATATCACTCAGCAGTCTCCTCAGCTTACGTCTGATTCATTTCCATTCTCGTAGGCATATTTCCTCCGTGATAGGGTCTTAATTCGTTACCAGAGTTTCTTGTCCCATTTCCTTTCTGACCAGTCATCCGGTCTGCGTGATTGGGCGTTGGCAGCCGCTGATAAAAGTCTGCAAAAGCCTTTTGGAAGTGCTTCCTGTAACATGCCGTGTTTCTGACCTATACAGAAGTAGCGACTTGACATTAGTGTTGAAAATCTGAATCTACTTCCTGCACCTGAATAAACTTTATTGGTAATTCATTCCAAGTAGAGTTAGACATTGGCAATTAAGGCCATAGATCCTACCAAAACTTAGTTGCTATTGAAATCAGTCTTCCATGAAACTGTTTAAGAAGTTTGTTTTTTTCTTGTCTGATTGTCAGCAGTTTCAAATCAGTGTAACACTTTTAAGTAACTAGTGAATCTGACTTGCTTTACTTGTTTTTTCATCTTTCAAACTGAAGTCAGGACTTGTTTCGGTCAGTCTTTAAGACTGAGAAAGTTCTGCCATATACTTAGTATACTTATACATAAACCTCTGTTAGGTTGATTTTGATTTATTTCCCTGAAGAAGTTCGGACCGGATTGCCGAACACTGGAAACGTTGGAATTGATCATTTCAATTTCACTGAGATTTTGCAAATATAATTTTTGAACGGAGTACATATTCATGAAAAAAATGTCCAATGATGTGTAATGATATCGAATGGGTTATCTGGTTGGTTTAAGGCTGGGTGAGCGAATGATGAAGGTTTAATTTCAGATAAGTAAAGATTAAGGTTATTTATTTTTTCAAGTATTGGTTTTGTAGGGATTTTGTTTGATTGACTGGTTGGAGGATCTCATCATGAGCTGACGTCAGTTGGAGGACCACTGGAAAACCTGCAGGGAGAACTGGAAAGCCGTTTTGTCTCAGGTTGGGACTCTTCATCAGCATGCACCCACCTTCTGGTTACAGGGCCAGCTCGTAGGCCATTAAGCCACTGGAACCCGATTCAATGGCCCATGAATTCTAACTTCTGCCAATTCGTGACATAGAGTGACTACTTAGGGCAAAGTTAAATTTCAAGCACTAATAAATACCAATCTATTAAAACTATTGAGTATGTAAGATAGTTTAAACAATGTTTGACAATTATTATTTTTTTAAGAATAGTAAAAACATAGAAACTTACATTCAGTGTTAGGCGACTGATGATTTTAAGGATGTTTGCACCAGACCCACCGAATCCAATGTAATAAGGACCAAGCCATTTTGCCACATAACCCTGTGAATTAAAAAATTGTAAAAGCAAACAAAGCTATTGTGATTTATTGAATGTAAAAAACTTTGAAGATCAGATTTCAGTCGAAAGTGACATCTATCCGAGTACTACTAGTAACTAAGAGAAGCTAGAGAGAAGTTCTCATCTAGCCTGAATATAATAAGCAGTTCATAGCCTTTCTAAAAGAAATCTGTTACTCAGTAACCCTTCAATTTTAAAGTTTTCTGGATAATGTTAGTTTGTCAAGGAATTTACTCAGAAATCAATCACATCTCCATAAATCCAAATGTTAACTGATAAGCACTGTTCATTGAAATAACACAGTTTAATGTTTCCTTCAAAACACTGATTAGTGAGCACACAATATCCTTTTAAATATGGGATTCGTCAAACATCACCGTCGTTAAAAGAATCAGTGAAAGCCAAAAGGGAACTGGATAGCATTTTCGTCCTAGTTCGAAACTGCTCTTCAACAGTGCACACCCAAGACCCCACCGAGGACAGAAGCCAGGGACTTTTAATTTACCAGGTCAGCTCGTTAAGTGATGTTGGTTGGGAATAAAATCTACGTCGAAAGTAATCCAAAAGCCCTAACAAAGATATGATCTAAATATTCATTTCAACAACGTCTTCAGGCCCTACACTGAAGTGTTCATATCAGTTAAGGAATAATTGTTGGTAACAAGATTTGTGTATGCAGGTTGTTACTAGATTACAAATCAAAATATGTATATGTGATAGTACGCATAAATATGACATTAAATTAAATGTCAAATATCAAAGTAAATGAACATGAATGACAATGATCATGTACTAATGAATGCTAGTGATTAACCTTCAGACTTATTTTTATTCCATCTGATTATAAACTTTATATGAATGAGTGTTAACATCAAAAACAAGGATGGAAAAATTACTAAAATTAGTGATGTCACTGTTGGTGAACATTGAATAGTTTGTTTATTCGAACAGGTCTCCATATTGGCGGGAGACAAAAAGGCTATCATTGCTAAATCGTGTACTGGTTGGTAGAAGATTGGAGAAATACTATCAGAAACTGTAGCACTGATTAACCACCGCATATCTGTTTCGTTATCGTCTGAAGAATAAGTAATCGTGTTGTTCAAGTGTTTTCTGTTGTTCCTCGTTGGTTACAGTGCATAGTCTTCTACGTATTAGGCTTAATCTTCTGAAACCGGCGACAGGTCCAGGATCTCAGCGATCTCGATATTTGACAAGTGGGGTGACAGTAAATAGTTAATTTTTAGCGGATAATTTTTTGTTCAGATTAGATGCATTATATAAAACCTAGAACAGGTTAAATTTTACAAAGTTATGGTGCTTAACTCTAAGCAGAACTAACAAAAGTTTAGGAAAAAAGTATAAAATTGAGAAATGTTTGATAATTTTCTTACAAAATAGCTTCTTTGTCTTCAAATAAATAAGTAGTTCACACATGACTTAAGGTCAGTAGAGAATGTTAAGTCAACACATGTTCCTATAATCATGGAGTGAATTAAGATTTGTAATTAACAGAATAACACAGTGTAATAGCCTCACATTGGAGAGGTTAGTGATGAAGAAAATAAGCGCTTGATTGACTGATATACCTTTGGTATTAACTTATCATTTGAAATACTCACATGACTGTTTGTTTTGGAATTTTGGATTTTCATAGAGTCGTTTTTTGACATATTTTTCAGCGAATCGAGCAACTGCCTCAACTATAGTTCTCTCTTTTCAAGTATTGGTTTTGTAGGGACTGCGTTTGATTGGTTGGAGGGTTTCATCATTCACGCAGTTAACCTGGGGTTCTAGTGGGAAGCGGTGACCAGTAGCATACAGCAGGTTTAAGGTGAGGCAGTAACTCATCGAAGAAAAAGTTGTGAAGTGGTCGTGCTATGTCATGAATTGGCAGAAGTTAGAATTCATGGGCCATTGAATCGAGCAATCCCAGAGGCTTAATGGTCTACGATCCCGCCTTGTTACCAGAAGGTGTTGGGTTCGAACCCCGGTGGGTGCGTACTACCGAAGAATCCTAAACTAGGACGAAACAGCTGTCCAGTACTCCTAGGTTTTCCAACAGTCCTGTAACTACAGTTCTTTATCTTTATGAAGTTTGAGATTCAGTATCATGGTAACAAGTGGTCTAGAATGGGAAACTCAGCGAAGCTTTGAAAGTGAAGACAGCGGTAAGGTAAAGCTGTCCATTTCCACCGGTGATATTCCTAATTGTGGTCAGGTGGATCATGCGGTAGACCGTGGAGAGCGAGGAGATAGGAATACGTTGGACCGACTAGAAAACTCTTGCAGATATGGACTTTGCACATGATCTATATCTAATATCACAAAAACTCAAAGATCTACCAGTGAAAATCATCATATGGGCACAAGAGGTAGATAGAGAAGGCTGGACTTTAAGTAAACACAAAGAAGACAGAGGTGATGGAGATACCCGACAGTCAACAACAGCAACAAGCACCAATCACAATTAACAACAGCTCTTTCACTCATCTACGCACCATCGTTTCAACTACAGGTGGCAGTACTTATGAAAGTGTCAAAGCCACGATCGGAAAGGCAAAATACACTTTAATTGCTCTCAAATCAGTGTAAAGGACAAGTTTCGGGTCCTCAACAATAATGCCAACTCACAACTTCTATAGGGTTCAGACACTTGATGTGCCATGACAAGAGCTTTGAAAAGACTTCAGAATTTTATCAATAGCTGTTCACTTTGCTTCATACTGAAGATCAGTTGGCCTAGAAAGAATTAGCAACATTACACTATGACGATGGACAAATGAAGGGACTAACGTCCAACAAATATACGCCAGGAAATGGAGATGAATCTTGCATACGCTTATAAAACCGTTGACTAACATTGAACATCAGGTCCTCAATTAGAACGTGAACGGGAAACCATGCTTCACGAATTGGTTTGAGGGTGACATGGAGGATGTCGCATGAGAAGTAGATGGAAGCTTATAGATTATCTATATGCCAGCTAAAGAAGGCTGCAGAGAACAGAGTGAGATAGAGATGTGCTGATGAACCCATACGTTCCCCTCGGAACCCAAGGGACTAATAATAATAACAACAACCAGAGTTTAATGGATGAAATAAGAAAATATTGAAAGACGATTCAAGTGTAACTGTAATCTTACTTTTATCGTCTTTGGTAATGACATAACTAAAAAACGTTTCCCAATACTTATTAATTGAGTATTTTCTTCTTTTTTTAAACGTCTTTATTATCGGTCCAATAGCCTAACTAGTAGACCAGGAGATTTAAATAACAAAATCAAGCAAATAAAAGAAATATTACTAGTGAATAACTAACTATCCACCAGAATTTATTTGGAAATATGTGAAGAACCATAGAAAAACGAAGACTAGCAATAAAAGTGACGAAAATAGTGAAAATAATATAGAATTCAAAGCCTCTCTAGCACTTTCATATAAAGAATGAACGTTAGAGGCCTTACGTAGCATTCTCAATGACGCTGGAATTAAGGTGGCATTTAAACCAATCAACCGGCTCTCTCTGAGATAAACTTTATCGGCTTGAGGATCCAACAGATCCAATTAAGAAAAATGATAAAATTTACGAAGTACCATGTAATGACTGTTGATGAGGTCAAAACTGGTAGATCAGGGTCAACTAGCTTATTGGAACATAAAAATTTAGCTAAACCTAGAATGATTAACCCTGATAAGTTAAATAACCTAGAAAAAAAAAGCTCAGCCGTTGCATTGCATCCACTTGCATGTAATCACACAGCGATAGGATGGTAGAGGGTGAGAGTATTAAAAAGTAATATAGTTAGGTTAATCACTAAAGCTTTGTTCATTGATTCAACAATGCACATGTGCAATCGGAATGATACAACGCCTATGCCGGAGATAAGGAAAGAGGCAACAAACAACTAAGGGAAGTTGGAGAGAGAGAGAAAGAGAGAAAAAGTATATTAGACAGATTGTGAGACTGTGAAACTAAATTGATATGTTTTTACGAGTTGATCACGGACTAATATCAGTTAGAGAACCATTGAAAACCAGGGAGTACTGGACAGCTGCTGTTTCATCCTAGTTTGGGAATCATCGGCAGTACGCACCCACTGAGATCCGAACCCAGGACCTTCCGGTTACAAGGTAAGCTGGCTCGTATACCATTCAGCCACTGGGACCCGATTCAATGGCTCATGAATTCTAACTTCTACCAATTCGTGATTTAGCGCGACCCCAACCATTGTCGTTGGTGGGACATCCATCCACACACGTGACATCTAATTGGACCTCACTGGTAACGACTTCTCACTAGAACTCCAGGAAACTCCATCCTGTAGCAAGTCACCCGGAAGGTCCTGGGTTCGGACCTCAGTGGGTGCGTACTGCCGATGATTCCCAAACTAGGATGAAACAGCAGCTGTCCAGTACTCCCTGGTTTTCAATGGTTCTCTAACTGATATTAGTCCGTGATCAACTCGTAAAAACATAACAAACCCTTACAAACCAAACTTTAGTAAATTGATATGATTATGAGTGGCAATAATTTATGCTCGAAACCCTATCGACCAGTTGTTAATACCACATCAACACATGTGATACTTAAAATAAACTTATATAATGTGGAATCACATTCTACCACAGTGCCCATGTTCTACAGTTACATTATTTTCTTTTTTTCCAGATATACAAGGCCTTCCTTGTATTTAAGTTATTCGATTTAAAATCTGTACAGTGCATTATTGATAATGAAACGTCACGAAATTTCAGAATTCCTGTGGTTTATGATCAGTGTATTTAAATTGAATATTGTTATTGCGAAATAAGTGCTCATTTTCTTCTCCTTTTTGATAGATTAAATTAAAAGCTTTTGTACAATGAATGACGGAATTCTTAATTCACTTTACATGTGATTAGTTTCAGGAAGTGCTGTATGAAACTCAGTATTCAGTGTGGCGATTTCCATAAAATGTGTTAACACTTTTTGACTATCT